ATCCCAGCCTCTGAGAACAACTTCTTATCACCTTCTCAGTTCTGAGTTCTCGTAACACCTTTGCACCTCTGGATTGGCTCCCTATAAACTGGGCAGTTAGGAGGGATTTTGAAACGTGGGTTTTAAGCTGTTTTTTTCGCACGGAAATTTTAGATCCTGCCTGCTTTCTCTGCAATCACTATCTCTCAATAAAAGTTCCTTTTGAAATGACTCTTGATTCAAGAGTTCTGCTTTCTTGCAGGACTAGCTAAGGTAAGACCTTACAGGCAGCTCAAAACCACCTAATAATCCACATGGGAGAGAAACAGAAATGGCTATATGCAGCCAAATGTAGCCAGCAAACTCAGAGCAGCCCTGGATGACCTGCACAATGGTTTCTCTGGTACTAAGAACCTGTTTGTGGCAGAGTTAATTAGGATCCAATAAGGGACAGATGTGGATATTTACTCTTTATTGTCATTCACCATGTGAACGTATACTGTATTATCACCAAAACCGTCAAAGATATGCAGACTTGGGAACAGAACCATTGTACTATTTCTTTTATTATGATGGTTTAATGCCCTACCTTGTGAGACCTAATAGTTTAATTTGAATCACACAATCATCGGAACAATGTATCTATAAAACCCCTAAAATAGAGGGAGGATTAAAAGCATAAATACAAAACAATGATAAATATATAACTAAATGAAGTTAACAGTACAAAGCATTCTTAACTAACAATTTCTCATGACAGCTAACAGTACAGGAACAGTTGTCATCTGATGGATTTTGTGCCAAACCCGGCGGCATTTTCTGTTGTGGAAGGATGAGCACCCTGAGAGGCTGGGAAGGGTGGTCCTTGGGGCCAGTTCAGGGCACCGTCTCTTCTCATAGACTCCTTCATCCTCCCCACTTTCCTCCTTCCTCTTTGGCAGGGCAGAACGGGGGGGGGGAACCAAGACAAACACGTGAATAGAAATGTTTAAAGTCAAACAATAAATATAACTGCATATCCTCCTTTTCCCCCACATGCACGAAAAGGTTCCGGTGTGAATGCAGAGCGAGTGAAGGGAGTCTCTTCTTAAAAACCTCCGGTGTTGGAGCATTCACGGCTTCTGGAGGCAGGTAGTTCCACCGGTTAACACCTCTCCCTGTCAGGAGACTCCTCCTTCCTTCCCCGGCCAGTCTCCCTCCGTCGCTGCTCCTCCCGCCTTCAGGGGGGGCTTCGGGGAAGAGCTGGGCCCCCTCCTCTTCGGGGCGCCCCCTCCCAGATATGGGAAGGCTGCTCTCACCTCCCCCCGCCCTTCTCCTCCCCTGCTCCCCCCCCCGCCCGGGAGAGGGTCTGCCTGGGGGCCGCGGGGGGAGCCTGGCCGGAGCCCCCCAGGAGGAAGAAGGCAGGAAGCGCCCCCCCAACTCTCCCCCGCCCTGCCCAGGGAGAGACCCCCAGTATGGGGAGGGGGAGGGAGGGAGGGGCGGAGACGCAGCCCCGGGAGACCCTCAGCCCCGCCGGCCTGGATGCGGGGG